TCATGGATTTAATTCTGCGAGAGACAGAGAACCGTCACGCAACTTAGTCTTGGGTGGGAGGTGTCGGGAAGTTGAGAGGGTGAGTCCAGGAAAATCTGGAAACAGACAGATCTTGAAGGAGAGAGATGTAGGCATGCTCCAGATTAAACGAGAGAAACGGTTTCAGGTAGAGGAGGGAAGAAGCCGACAGTGGGCACCAAGAGGCATCAACAAACAACCTTCGCTCAGCCAGTTCCCGTCGAGTCCTCCCTAAATGTGGGGACTGAGGGTTCTGCCCAACACGGAGATGTAAACGTCACCGATGACCCAAAACCCAAAGACAAGCGCCCTTGCCTTCTTGCCAAGATCCTTCCAACACATTCTCAGACACACAGACATGGCTAGTCAAACAGACAGAATCATATCACACGTAACCTTTTGTAACTGCTTTTACCTCTTTGTCAGAAGTATGTTATTTTAATAAATCCATCACATTTTATTTTGTAGCTGTAACACTGTTCATTTTTAAAGACTACATTGGGCAATGACATTGCTTTGTGTTTTTTTGTTATGAACCATGCTGTGGATGACATACTGTGTACAGTTTTGCACGTTACAGGCATTGTTATCTTGAAATGTTTCTAAAGTATATATGAAATTTAAGACTTTTAATGTGCACTGCAAAGGTGTCTTCCAGAAAGTGAGCCTGCCATTCCCCCAAGCAGTATACGAGAGACTGTCTCCTCACATCCTTAATTAACACCGGGCGGCGGGCTGCATGTGATAGTTTAATTTAATGTGTTATAGTCCAACAGTGATTCCTTTATGACTTCAGACTCATGAATCCATACCGAGAAATAATCTCCCTGCTTAAATTTTCTAAAAATGTCTGCCATTTCTCCTAATAGTTTTTATGGTTTCATTTATTTCATGTAGAAACCAGAGATATCAGAAATTAATCTTGTTTGAAGATGTCATGGCATAGGCATCTTTTAATTTCTAAATGAATATTTAGCAATATTGTTTCAATAAATGTAATGTTATCTTTTTACATGACACACTAATATTTTTATTTGAATCTAGTTCTGGACACTGCACTTTTTCTTTTGGTTTGTTTACTTTTCCTTGACTATGATATTATTTTAGTTATGTAACTTTATAGTTCACTTGAGTATCTGGTGAATTAAGGTTCTCTTTTCTGTTTCCAGATTAGAAGAAAAATTTTATTTATACAATATTGAGTCATCTCATCCTAGGAGACAGTTGGCCTCTTTTTTATTCAAGTTTTATTAGTAAAACTTTACCCTGTAAAGGTCCGTTTCTCCAGTGAAGGCTCATCATATTTCTTGCTTATTTTTTATACAATTCATAACTTTGATTGTGATTGGGAAGTACTTTATATATTATGATATTTAACTAATTATTGTAATTACTGTATAAAGTTATTGATTTTGTTATTTTCTAATGACACATGCTATGTAAATCTTACTCAGTTTTTCTTCAGTTCCAATCAACTATATAACCTGCAAAGATTAGATATTTTCCATATTTACCACTTATTCCTGTTGACTGCACTGGCTATTGCTTTGAAAAAAATGTAAAATCATGTAATAGCGTAACTTTCATGATTTTAATGAGAATACTTCTAACATAATAATGAAATTCTCACTTCAGTACTGAAAAGAACGATGATTTCCATGGGTTGAAATATGCATCATATATGTAAATCTATGACTTTACAATGACAACGAAAGCAGTAACAGGAACACCCGTGGCAAATCTTCATTGGTCACCATTAGAGAAGGCTGACCCATTAGTCTGAAATCGGATAAAATTCAAGTATTCATCTATCCTTTCCTGCACGAGATCTAGTTTAAGGTAACCGAACAGTTTATTATATTTTTGATAATTCCACTTAATAGTGCCAAAAGAATGGTAGAAAACTGCCGTTCTGCAATGCCTAATAAAGTAACGATCCTAGGAAACGATTATAAATAGATGCCCAAAGCTTTAGGTAAGATGTTGATGTAAAACCTTATTTTGCAGGCAATCAGGTTATTACCACATGAACCCGCTGGTAAATTTCGGCATCGCCGTGAGACAACCAGATGTCGTGTGGCTCATTAAGTATTAGGAAATATTTTTGCCTTAAATAACAGCAAAATTATCAGGATCTAATCTGACCTAATATAGGTTACAGAAAACAGGGACAGAGACCAAATCTAGAATGTTGACCATTCAAAAGGGCACGTAACTTAGCTTCCCCAGCAAATCCACAGCATGGAAGAAAAAAGCAGCTTGTTACCATATAAAAGAAATGTCAGAGATATACAACCAAGTGCAGTACAGATCCTGATTCAAAGCCTATTATAAGCAGACGTCTTAGGGACAACGAGGGCCATGTGAATACGGCCTGGCACATGCCAAGCAGTGACGATTTAACTGCGTCAGCCGTAACGGCGGCTTCTCAGTAACGCCGGGAATCCAAGGCTGGAGCTCCCGTCAGGGGCTTACACTGCAGTCTTCACAGGTAAAGCCACCGGGTCTGAGGTTTGCCTTCAAATACCTCAGGTTACAAAAAATGCGGGAAATACGTTAAGTGGCAAAAAAATATTGGTAATTGTTGAAAGTAGGCGATGGGCAGCCTTGAGGTTCGTGATACTAGTGTCTCCAGTTTCGTGCCATGCGTGTGGCTGGTGATAAGTTAGAAAGGAAGCAGGGAAGGTCAGAGGCGGGGGAAACGGGTACGGAGCAAGGATGGCTGCAAGGAGGAGCGGAGGCCGCTGCCACAGAGCACGTGAGTACCACGGAGAAGCGAGGTGCATCTACCCCAAGAAAAGATGCTGGCGAGGGCCTGGACTTAGAGCTGAGGCAGAGGAGGGGTGAGGCGGAGGGAGCGAGCGCAAGGAAGACGCCTAGAAGGCCACTTCTGTCCATGACAAGGGTTTGGAAAGTACGAGTGATCCATAGCTTTTACGTCTGGGTTGCCTCTTTGGCCCATCAACTTCTCCCAGGCTGTTCTCCTGTGAAAAGCATCCTCACGAAGGCCAAGACTGTGACCCCCTCACGGCCGTAACTGCCAGGGTTCTATCTCACCCTGTTTATCTATGAGCCTTCTTTCAACAAATGAACTGCTGAGATTTAAGAGACTTCCAAATGTTTTTAATCTCACTTTATAAATATGAAAACTGAAGGAGGAGCCTCTGAATCTCACGTCATCCCCGACGTGTGCAGGTCAGGCCTGAGCACGTTCAATGGAAGGAGCTCGTTACAGGCAGATGGGGGTCGAATGCCAAGAAGGACTATACACCAGAATGAAGCCAGACACTGAAATCCATCCCTTAGGCTCACCGTGAAACTCCAGACTGACAGAAACAATTGTACTTAAA